CCCTCATCTAGGTCACTGATGAATATACTGAATAGTATTGGTCCCAGTACAGACCCCTGAGGGACTCCACTAGATACAGGCCTCCAAAAGCACTTAGACTAAGCAAATACCCCTACTAAGTTGTGAGCACAAACTCATGTTTGTCTAGTAAGTAAAATCCGTCTTGATGAAACTTGAAACTCTATAGCTTACAGTTTCTCTTACCTCAAGGATCAAAATTACTACAGCTCCAATGACTGTGATCAGCTCCCCCACCAGCCTCAGCTCATCCTCATACGGTCATATATGATTCCTGACGAAAAAAAAAAAAGAAAAAAGGAGTGAATGGAAATTAAAATTAAATTTTGAAGGGAGTGAAAGGAAATTAAAAAGGAGGGTGGGGGAAGCGAAAGACCACTGTTAGTGTGAAAACATGACCAGGCCTGGCAAGGCCACAGGAACCAGTCCAGCCCTAGCAATGGAGAACAGAGCATACCCCATGTTCTTCATTGACAAAGGTCAGCTGGCAGAAAGACACAAGGAGGACAGCTGCAATAGCTCAGAACTGGAAAAAACTTGAACTTTCCAGCCAAGTAGGTTAGATGAGAATTTTCCAATGCTGCCTATAGGGACCTGACTCCTACAGACACAGTACCTGCAGCATTTTCTGGACATAGATTGTATTGTCTCTGCTGCTTGTTTTGTTGCCTGTTCGGGGTTTCAGAGGTCGGTAGACGCAGCACATAGTGAAGCAGACCATGTAGAGTACATAGAATAACGCCAGGAAACAGAAATAGGGACGACCATACATATTCCACTTCAGGCTCACCAGCTCCTTCACAGGTGTTAGGTCCAAGATCTGGCGTGCCTGAGAAAGAAAGAAAGAAGTAATTAATTACCATAAGGGCATTTGTTTATAAGCATCATTCACACCGTTTCCTGGGATAATATTAACAAACTATTCTCACCTACTTTCTTCAGCATTAGGAAGCCAAATTTATTTTGCAAAAATAGAATGCTCATGTGGGTTTGGATTTGCTCAGTTTGCCAGTAAAGATCTTTGGAAAAAAGTAAAAAATATATCCTGTAGAGAATAGCTTTTGAGTACCAGTGGGATGCACAAGAAAAGCATATTAGCTACTGGAATAAGTTTGTTGCCTTCGTAGGCCTGTATGCATATCAACACTTGAGACAGGCCTATGATCTAGGTCCATGAATGCAAATATGTGAGAATGTGTTGCACAGAATAAAAGGTATTACTTAGAATAGCATTTCATAGCATCCTTTATAAATGATCCTATTATCTTTTACAAGGCTATCTGCAGAGTATAAGATATATACATATTAGGGTCAGGCTAACTTTACAGTGTCAAAAATTTTGTAAGTCCTGTGAACTCTAGGGATTCAAACAGATACAAAACTACTTCTATTCACGAATTGTCTTTTACTGTGACTGGTATAATTTTTGAATAATATTTTGTGTTAAGCAAGACAGCACAGTGCACTCTACAGCAGATACTCTGCACAAAATATACATCATTATTAGAACACAGAATTGAAAAAAAAGACAATTTGTATTCTATTTTCAGCTACAGAAAAAAGTTTGTGTGTAAGCTTGTGAAATTCACTTAGATTTTTTTCTCCAAATTGGAGCACTGCATTTATATGTGTAAGTTAACATTGATTTCAACAGCTATTTCTATCAACTTCAGTAGTATTTGTGAAACTCTTAATCTCTAGGAAACATATCAAAAGGTCTTTTAGATGATTAGCTCTCTTTGAAAAACTGACACTCATATTACCTTGATTTAGCAGGCAACTAAGAGGACTTTGAAAGATTTTAAAAATTCTTTATTTTCTATTTAAATGCAGCCTGTTAATGGACTGGATTTTCAAAAGTTTTCACCATTTAGCTATTATGATAAAACCTGCAGTATACCCCCAGTTAGATATAGTATGAAAAAAAAAAAACAACCCAGGCTTTTCCAGCTTACTTCCTTTAGATTATTTGCATGTTATTCAAAGTTTTGGCCCTTCATTGTAGTATCTCGGTGGTGTAGCTCAAATATTGTAAGAGGACCACATAAATTTCCAGGAATAAACAGAAACTTCAGTGAGCATCTTGCATGATATGAAAAATAGTGCTGCTCCATACCTTGGGGCTGCGTTTGTGTCAAAGATCTGTATATATCTATACATTCACTGTAGCTGAGGAATTCTATACAAAAAGCAAGCTTCATCAAAAATGTTGCCACCACAGTTTTAGAAGTGACAGAGAGGCTCTATAAAAAGTAAGAGAAATGGAGTTATAAGCACTGGAGGGAAGAGCCCTTTCCTATCATACAATTCCTTTTCAAAAACTGACAGGAAGACTTCAGAAATTTTCTTAAGTGCTCTCATGGTTGATTTGCACAGATGCATGTAAAGGACAAAGAAAATACAGTGAGATGTTACAGAAAAAAAATTCAACGTATTTTCCTCTGTTGTACCTCTGAGTGAATCTATTGATTTGCTGTAGAGATGACGACTATAAAACTTGGAAAGGTTATCTACATTTAGGCTGTACTAGGGCTAAACTGTAACAGTTGCTCTATCACCCAATAAATCCTCATCAATCAGGGAGGAGAATTGGGAAAAAGGAGAGAAGACTCACAGATGAAAGTACAACAGGTTTAATGAAAACATCACCAGTACAAACAGAAAATACTCAACTAAATAAATATGCTGTCATCACAACGTACTGCAGAGTAGTCCTCAGCAGAAGCAGAGGAGGAGCAGGAGGAACATCAGCAAGAATAAACTCACAGGAGCTCCCACTCCTCAGTAAACCTCCTCCTTGAGCATGACATTATGGTATGGGCTACACCTGCAGCTAACTCAGGTCAGTTGTCCTGGCTGGCTTGAAGCTGCTAATGGCTGGTCTATGATTCTATCCTAGCCAAACCAGGACAAAGATCAATGTCATTCCACTCTTTTTAACTGTTTTCCTAGAACAAGATGAAATTGCAGCTACATGAACTGTCTAATAAATGTCACTATTTCTTCCTAGAAACTTTGCCTCATCTATGTCCTTAGAGTATCACTAGTACAAATAACCCTATCACATAACTTTAGGCGCCTAAAGGAGGTATCTTCATCGGTGATGTTGTTATCGTAAGATTTCTCTCCTTGTAGGCAATAGGGTCCTACAGATTGCCATTCAGCTCACCTAAGATCTAAACTGCTCTCTGGAGATTCTTAGTTACTTGCATTTCTCTATCATCCACATGCAAAAAGTAGGCAATCAGTATTCCTTAATTAAACACCTCAGTTGGAGACAAAAATGAGATGAGACGAATCTAGGCCAAGTGCACTTCTTTAGCTTAATTTGTCCAATGTAAACAAACAATATTGCGTGCAAAAAAGTAGTCACTCTCAAGCCCGCCCAAAACTAGAAGCTCTGCTTAGTAAACTAGTCTGTGAAGAAAGAGTGAACTGCATGGGAAAGATATTAATTTTAGTATGTAACGTACTATTGGGATGTATTCAACAACACAGTGATAAAATGACTATGCTGATACAAATAAAATGGAAAAGAGAATATTAAGGTCTTTTCATACTGAGTTCTTTTGAAAAATTTGGCCTGTGATTCCCTAGTGGTCATAAACTACATAGAGTTCCACTGCGAGGAAGTATGTACCACAGAAGTGACAAATGTTATTTTCAAAGTAGATGTATGGTACTGACTCAATTTAGCATGGCTTCCAAGATCTGCAGTAGAAGAGCTAGATCTATACTTTGGAATCAAACGGATCACCCTGAAGTATTTTCAAAAAAAAATGTTCTTTTCCATTTAGTTATAAGCCATGTTCTGTGAAGTGGAATTAAAACTAGGATATTTGTTTATTGGCACCTGCAAGCCCAGAAAATCAGCATGGAGTCTTTTTGTGATTTTTCTGTCATCTCATTATAACCGTTTAGGGTCTGTTCGCAGTCTGGAAGAAATCAGTATAGCTGAACTGAAGCCATAATTGCACTGGTCTCTAACAGTGGAATAATGAGCCTGTAGTCCTTCATCTGTCTTCCCTACATGGAAGTGTAATTTCTACTGATGTAAGAAGAATATATAAATACTAGAAACAGGACTATGACTGGTATGTTTACAAAGGATCAAAGTTGGCTTTGTAGGTCAAGGGGCTCGATCTACTCCAGAGATGGTCAAAAACAGTTGGATTCAGCGACTTTAAGACAGTCAGTGCTATTTCATTTGCAGTTTCTCTACCTATAAAAAAGGGAAGAACCTATCTGTCCTTTCTCACAGAATGTATCCAGGGTCCACATGAGCAATAAGCTACTTCTCCAAGAATCCTGTTTAAGGTTGCCAACCAAGACCCAAAATGTCAATAAGGTGTTTTCTGTAAAACGGAAACAAAGGCATGTATATAATTGATTGGAAATTACCCTCGGTCCTGATGGCATCTTGAGGGTAAAAAAAACCACTAACAACTAAAATGTATCTGATAAACCTTTGAAATGTTTTTATTGTTTGTAGGAACATAGAACTGAGGATGACAGAATATTCCTGTTAGTACAGCAATAGAAGTCTTTTGTATCAGATGATTTAGGATAAGAAAACTGGAACATTTTTCCAAAAGAGATAAGCATTTGTTTAAAGCTCCATGGCTTATGTAAAAATATTACATTATAAGTTTCTGCATTATTATCTGGGTGATACTTAATTGAATCATTTATGTCAAGCTTTCAGCTTCTGCTGGAAGATTGACACTTACAGTATAACTAGGACAAACAGGGTGTACTTTACACCTTGCTTACGAATTTGACCCACACATATTATTAAATTCTAGTCCTACTTCCTATTGTAATATTTAGGAGACCACTGCAATAAGCAAGAAGGAGACATATGTCAAATTGGTGTATGTTAGTTTAAAGGAAAGTCTCTTATTTCACTCTAGATGTTTTCATTCTCTTGCTACATTGCCCTGTTTACTTTAAGTCGGCCAAAGACAGATTGTGCAAAGTGCAAGGAATATGTATGTTCCAATAAATTGACATGACTCTAACAGAACTCTTGAATGGCCTAAGAAATATCCTAAAGGATCAAAACTAAGTAAGAGATAATGAACCCAGCTAGATAGCCTTAGGTGTTCTGTTTTCTGCAGAAGTCAGTATTCTATAATTCTTTCCGTAAGAGAGTAAATTTCATTTTGAAATGGATGATCTAAGTCTGGAGCTTACTATAATCTTCCTGTAGCTTAGTTCCCTTCTATTTTTTCCACTTTACACCCACTTAAGGGTCAGAGAATATATCTTAGTACCTGTTTGTGTATGCATCCCTCTTAATACAAGAAGAACCTGTTTCTGATGGGGGCCTAAAGACGCTCACCTAGCCCAATACTGGACTGGGATGGTATGATAGGATGAGGTTACACACAGCATTTTTCTAGAGGAGACAGCCAACATTTTGGGCCAAACATATAACAAATGCAAAGAATTACTAGTTATGCATGCAAAAATTGCAATTGTTCATATTCAAGAGCATTCTTGAAAATACAGAAATCAGAATCTCTTATGGTATTTGGTGACATTATATCCTTTGAATTTAGGAATCTTGGATCTGCATGCACTGTATGTTTTGGGATAAGATAGAGGCACAACATTCTGCTTTCTTTTAGGATTATGGTTTAGTCTTCCGAACAATATCTAAGGTTGTTCTATTTTTTGACGTAGACTGCTTTCCTCTGAATTTCCATAAGTATCATCACACATAGAAATTTAGAGGATTTCAAAGAAAAGCAATTGAGAGTTTCATAGACTTCCTCCACACTGTTCAAAGCTCTCCAGCAGCTGAAACTTCTGTTAGAGCTAAGTTTGACTAAAATTTTGATAGATGGAAATAATACAGGATAGGTAGTATTGTGCTAATTAAAGTGTCTTTGATTCATTTCCTATTCTATTAGGATTATTTAAGCCAATTACAACTGCTAGGGAGTGTACCTTGAAAGTCTTATGGAGATCTGTCTAAGCTTTCCATTACACTCTGCTATTTTTATCTCAGTGATCCCTTTACAAGTTTTTGAGCCTACAGCAAAGATAATTTGCCCACTTTGTTTTGTCATAACGTGGACAAGCAATGTCATTAAATCAAGGGAATAGTAACAATGAGTGGTTTTAAAGTGCACTCAAGTTTAGGATTTCTGAGCACAGCCTTGTCTCACAGGGACATTATGAGAGTTAATCAGTATCACAGTTACAGAAATCTACTTGTTAGAGCTACTCTAGAGGTACTTGTTGCTGATATCTCTGAGCCTGTGAAAGACAGAGAACCCTTTATTGAATCACACAATGTAATTTCCTGTGGCTTGCTCATACTAAGTTCTTTCAATCATCTGCAACTTTCACACCTCAGAAGAAACTGTATATAAAGCACAAGATGTAGTCAGGTCATTAATAAGCTGCCACATTTCATGTATTCCCTACAGTATATGATGCAAAGTCCTTGTTCTACGGATAGTATAAAAGAGCTTGAACCTTCAAACTCATCATTCTTCTCCTTTTATAATCACCATGGTCTGCACATGGAAAGCATGTGGTGCCCAGAGTACCTCTCTCTTCTTGGTTGAGACAATGAGCTCAAGGAAGGATTGATCTTCAGCCCAGGAGTCAATTTCTGTGAGATCATAGAGCACAGTGGACAAGGGGCCAAAGGACCAGAGGTTGTGCTTGCGCTTCTGCATAAGGTATTGAAACATCTGAGGAGAAAAAAATGGGGTTAAAGATATCAGAAGCTTTCCAGTATACAGTGTATTTGCAATGAGAACAAATAAAGTTGTTTAAAAACCTTAATTGCAACGTATTTTCCTTGAACTTGGTAGTTGTTGAGGTTATCGTATCTCTCAGGAACAACTACAGAGGTTAAGAAGTGTAATAACTTTTTCTGATTCCCATTTGATAACTAGCTCATGCGTGAGGTAAAGGATGAGTGATTTTTACTCTAAATGCTAATCAAATTGCCAAAGTTTTTGACACAGTTATATATCTTGACAATAACTTTCATATAGAATTATATATTGATTAGAAAAAAAATCCTTTTACACTCTTCTACAAGTTACCAAGAAAGAGGTGCGGCAAGGGAAATGATCCTATCCTTTCTGGATCTACATAAGAAATACTAACCACCTTTGTATTATTTTAAGGGGAAGGATGAGAGTTTTCATTAAATATTGAGTTCTTGTCTATGAATAAATGTCTGTGGATACCTGAAGAAGTTTCCCATATGTCACATTTAGGGTAGTGAAATCTAGATAGCAAAGACAATCATTTCAGTCAGACTTTCAAGAAATTACTTGGGGTGGATCTTTCTGTTAATACCTGTTTAACTCAAATGCTTCAAAAACTGGATCAAAAGAACTATTCTTTAGGCACTCATTCCTTTCATTATAGGGTAAAGAAATTTCTTACAAAGGCTTTTCTGGTCCTACATGAGACTTCTGGGGAAAAAAAAAAAAAAAAAGACTTGCTGTGTATCTTCTACTCACTAAGAACATGCACAAACTCCCTTGGTTTGCATGATGTTAATTCAAGTTCTTCCTTTCTCTTTTGTATGGAGGCAACTGTGTCACAAAAACTCACCACAGTGTTGCCCTCAACTCCAGCCAGTTTGAATGGAGTAAGCCCCTCATTGTTAGGAATCAGTTCAAGTGATCCCGGTCCCTCTTTGTTTTTGTCATAGGAAAGTATCAGGCTGTACATGTGGCAGGCAAACATCTTATTAGGCTGGAGAACCAGGATGTGAAGAACAGTGTTACCTTTGAAGAAAACAGATCAGGTAAAGTATATGGAATAGACCAGCCATGTGCAAAGACTGGCAATTGACTGATGGTTTTCATTTTATTCACATCGTTCATCCCACAGCCATTTGTAATGAGAGAAAAATATGTGTGTGCACGGATGACAGAGTCTGATTTAAAGTGTCCAGATCCACTGTATAAAATTCACTAGGCCCCACAGCACATACCCAGATAATCTTGAGCTCCAATGTCAGCTCCATTTTCAATGAGCAACTGTACAATTTCTTCATTTCCCACACAAGCAGCAAATGACAGAGCATGCTCTCCTGCAAAGAAAGGAATGGGGAGAAACAACATTAAGACCCCAGAAGGCAGGGAAGGTTGAAGCATGCTGAGGGAAAATTATCCATGCTATGAAGCCAGAGAACATGAAAGGAAGAGTTACTTCAGGTAACCTGTATATTTCCTGCCCCACTCCTCATCCTTCTCAGAAAGGAAAAAAAGACCAGCCCCACATAACACTAAAAGGGGGGTTCCCTTGTTCTTTTCAGGAGATTATCTTCATAAGAATGTTGACAAGTAAGTTGCAGTACATGCTGCTAGGAAGAAATGAAATTACAATTTTTATGTAATATATATTTTTTGTATATGTGCAAATATATAGAATATGTATGATTCATATATATTTATATTTATGAAGTATTTGTATACTCAGATGGAGTCTTACTGTCTCTGCTAGAAGGTGTGTGACTGCTGACACTTGGAGACAGGAGCCTCTGCTTGTCCAGTTTAGATGGGGACTAAAGCAAGTCTCCCTTATATTCCCTCATCACTCTGCTGGTTCCCTCCCGTAGCAGCAAGGGGAGAAGATAAGGCTGTACCGAAATAGAGAAGGTTCTGTGAGCTGCGCCTGAAGAAGTGCCCAGTGGCCTGTGCTGTGCAGACATTGGCCCCTCTCTTGAGTAAAGCCTTCACCAAAGTGATGTTCTGGTTCACGGCTGCAATGTGGAGAGCTGTCTGCCCTGTAAGACACAGAAATAAATCCTCTCCTTCCAAGAAAGCAACTTCAGTTCATATTTCAGTCATGGTAAAGTTTTTTTGGGACTGCATCCATACGATTTAGCTTTGAAGTTATCCCTGTTGTGTGCAAGGGTTGGACTACAGATTTTTCCAGGGGTCCCATTCTACTTAAATCTTTTTATGAATTAATGAACACTGACTTTACAACCTGCCAAAAAAAACCCAACAGGATACACTTTCGAAATTTTTTCTAGGGGAAAACAAGACATGCCACACTATTTCAGGAAGCACCATGAAAGCTGTGTGACTGTCTATACTTTCCTTCATGGGACATGAAGACCAGGTCAAGACAAAGCTCCCAAGGAAGACTAATTCTAATACTTCAAACTAAGTATTAGCATTTTTAAACCCCCATCATTATTAATTTAGTGGTTTCAAGATTCTGTCTGGCATTTCTGTGTAGTCAATCAGAACCGTTCTTTATAAACTTTGCTCAGAGTCTAGACTCAAAAGCAGTGGCCACATTTGTTTTCAATGCCTATTCTTTGTCAACAAAAGAACTAATTTTTTTCTCCTTTCAGAGGAAATCAGGTCGGTACCCCTTTTGTTACACGTAAGTATGCCAGAAAGCAAACTCCTTGCAATCCCACTATACCCAACGGGCTCACCTGTGGTTAAGGGTTTGTCAATTACTCATTTGCATGTTTGCATATGTGCATACTTGGGTTTAATATAATTCCACCTTCCACAAATGATCAGAAGCCATTTGTATGTTGTTTTTGCTATGTAACAGTTCAGTAATATATTGAACCAGGAACAGTATAAGCCACTTCCCTAAATGTACCCTTTTCTCTCTCCCCTTGCGGAGAATCCTGCCCATCTTCATTCCCTGAGATGTTACCTTCATAAAGCTCTGATGTCATCCTCTCATTGACAAGCTCAGGAGCTGCTTCCATCAGAGTCACTGCTGCCTCCACGTTATCATACAAGGCAGCTACATGAAGGGCGGTCTCCCCCACTGCACCTAGAAACAGTAGGAGAAGCATGTGAGTCATCTAGACATTCAACTTTATGGGACAAAAGCAGAAATGGATTTATTGGGGTGCAGAATTATGGGAGTGCTAGGTCCTCCCTTGAGTACTTCGAGGTGCCTCCTCATCATATGACATGGTAACAGCCACATAACTGCATAATCTCTGTCCTTCACTCCATCAAAATCCGAAAGCTGGACAGAGACTTCGGGTGTCTGTGATAGCAGACTCAGGCATAAGGTGAATGACTGACCACCTACCACAGTAAACCACCTCCCCCAGTCTCTCTATAAAAAAGGCCCATTCAAGCTGTAAAACTGTGATCTTCGCCATTCCTTTAGGGTTCGATATGCTCGTCAAGTCAGAATACTCACTTTGTTGCAAAGCTGCTGACATAGGGTTAAGTAGTTTGAGTCTGCTAATGCAAATGTTTTAGCAAACTAACAAACATACTACATGCTACTCATTGTAGCAGGCTCTTGCCTTCCACAGAAAACAATTTGTTGCAAATAATTGAGTTACCTCTCTGATAGATATCACATGTTCCATCAGTAAGAAGTTTCCTAATGGCTGGGAGGTTGTTCTCTTTGGCAGCCTGGAGGAGTGGGGATTCCCAGATCCTGTAGTCAAGAAAAAGTGGCTGATAAGGAACACATTCAAACACATGGTGCCTCTCTCCAGAGCTAGCATGGCCTTTGCTAGTGACACTATGTGTCTTCAATATTTTCACTGAAAGGTCAGTAATGCACACCTACCATCTGAGGTATTTTTTGAACGCAAAAAAACCGACCTGAAAAGCAGATAAGTACAATGATAAAAACCAAGGCATTTCATCATCTCTTGACTTACTGATGCTTAAACATATGGTGGCAGCAGAGGGAAAGGTAGGAAAAAAGGATAACCAACTCAAAAATGTTTCTGGTTTATATAACCAACATTTTGACACAGAATGATGGGTCATTTAATACCCCTCCTGCCATTAGACTAGCTGTCTTACAAGCCAGAAAAAGCCAGTAGTTTTTTTACACAGCACAATAAATTAAAAAAAGGTTTACCCCTGAATTACTCCAATAACAGATGGAAAAGAAAATGTACAAACAAGAAACCCACCTGTGTTGTAGCAATGTTTCATGTAGTATAATTAAAAGAATGAGCTCTAAAATGTAGTTCCTCATCATACAAATTTATGAGGAAAAATTTAAAAGCTTAACTATATTATTTTTTTGTCTGATGCTGAGAAAATTGAGACTGTTGAGAACTGAAATGTATGCCTGTCCTGGGAAAGAGCATGCCTTCAAACAAGTTCTAGGTGGAATGGTTCAATTATAGCTGAAGAATGCCCGTGAGTCTTCCACGACCCTCTGGGTTATTTCAATAGATCCTTTGGGGCTGATGAAGAAATTTCAAGTACAGTAACCAAACTTCACTACACCAAGGTCCTTTGATGCAAACAGCAGGTCAAGGGAGGTGATCTTCCCCCTCTACTCAGCTCTGGTAAGGCCATATCTAGAGGCTGTGTCCAGTTCTGGAATCCTCAGTATGAAAAACATATGAAGGGAGTTCAGGAAAGGGCCACAAAGATGATTGCGGGACTAGAGCATCTCTTGTATGAAGAAAGGCTGAGAACTGGGACTGTTTATCCTGAAGAAGAGAAGTCTCAGGCAGGATTCTTATCACTGTGTACAAGTAATTGAAGGGAGGGTGCAAAGAGTTACCTGCAATGCCTGCTCACTCAGCATCCAAATAAACTTTTCTAATGTTCAAAATAATGAGTTGGCCACCCAAAAAAGTCACCAAAAAAATAGAATAAAATCTACTAATTTGCGGTAAATATTTCTGCTACCCTCAAATATTTTCAGATTTGTCTTTTAATTCACAAGAAGTGTTTTGGGGTGGGGTATTGTTTAGTTCTTTTTTTATATACAAATAAAGAATTATAAGTAGCCCAAGTTCAGGAGCTAAAGATTGAAGGGGAAGAAAGACCCTCAAACCCAAAGAAACAGCCTACATCTCATAAATTTTCAGTATGAAAGAGATTCCTCTCGCCAAATAGGGTAAGTTCAGATTTAGATCTCTGTTCAGATGCAAATCTTGTGCTTTTATCTCACCTCTGCTTTCTTGTAGTACAGATGTTTAATTTGTTCTTAATTGCCTAGCGTGGCTCAGGTCATGTGTGATGTGGAATAAGTCTAGGGAACACAGTAGAACAATGACAAATTCAAGCTGATATGAACAAGGAGAACATTAGCCCTCATTTTCCTGTTAGCTCCTGTCTGTTCTTTTACTACAATCTAACAACTGCCAATAGACTTGATGTTAGTCACACACACACACACATACACAAAAGCATGTGGGACAAATAAATTAGTCAAACCATATACCTGAAGATATATTCAATGCTTTCTCCTTGAAATCCCAGATTTCTTCCTTGTATTCTGGTATTATTTAGTTACAAGATTTTGGGGATACAGTTTATAGGGCAAATACTATATAAAGCAATAGGTGTTTTGCATTAAGTGATAACACTGATATTAGAATACATTATCTGTGAATATAACTCTATTATAAGCCACAAGAAAACCCACATCAAAGAAAGAGAGAAAGAGAATATAAATGGCCCATTGTACAAAACGTTTTCTCAGGACTTGTGCTTACTGCATATAGGATAATTTAACGGTAAAACCATAGGTAAAACAGGTAACATAAATTCTGTGGCTCAGAAAAATATATCTTTCTCGGTTTAAATGATAAAAAAATATTATTTTATGAAGAATAGAATCTTGAAGCAAAAAAAAAAAAAATTTGATATACCATTATCTCTGGATTTAATCCACCTGAAATGTGTGAGTTCTGCACACCTTTATAGCAGAAAGATACTGACACACTTGAGAGAACTGAGGGAATAAAGCAGAACAAAAAGAAGTATCAGAATTACACAGATAAATAGGAATCATTTTAATAACTGTAAATTAATGGGCATGGGCTACAAGTAATAAAAGCATAACTGAACATTATATTTATCATTCCATAAAAGGAGCATTTCCTGTCACCAACAGCACCTCAGTATCTAAGTCACTAGAAACTAGACTAGAAAAACACTGAAGAACGGAGGAGAAATAAAAACATTCAGAATATAAAGGACCATCCTGAACAAATGAGATATTTTTACACGTCCTTCAAACTCTTAACCTTGCTGCTTTGAGAAGTATTCCTTCTTTAGCTTAAACATGCATCAGTTGTGTTAGTTGCTAATTACAAGATGATTTAATGAGAACATTGCATCTAGGATCAGACAAATAGGAACAAAATAAAGAGGCACTCTGAGCAAAAGTTGCAAGATTCAGTGTCAGTGAAGCAAGCTTACCACTTCTGCCATTATTTTGGCTGAGAAAGACTCTGTGTTCCTGGAGAATGGAACTTTCAGAGGCAGGAAGTGGGAAGGAGGTGGAGTTTCAACAGTATAAACAATGCCACAATTAATATGATGATGTTTTACTGGGTAGGCCTTTATCCCTCAAATGACCTCAGAGAGGAGGAAGGATTGGGTAAGAGACAATGTGGGAGGACACAAACACAATACCTTCCTCACAAAACTTTCCAAAGCCCTGGTAAACAACTAATTAAATTACAAGTCTGCTAAGAGGGATACACCTAATAACTACCGTACTCAGCTTTCAGAAATTTAGGGCAAAATCGTCAAACCTTTCTACTTATTGTAGGAACCTCCGACTGGGCTTAAAGAACCAGAGATCCTAGGCCAAACATCAAGCTGGTGAAGAACCCGAAAGTGTTGGTAAATGTCATGGCACACTGCCTCTGGTGCCTCAAAGGTCCATGACTTATGGACCATATGTTTATACCATATGCTTTTACTCTCATTTAATTCTCTGTCCCATAACTGGGAAAACATTTTACTCTCATTTAAAACATGCCATTATAATTATCAACTCATTTATAATATATTACAGCAATGTGCTGAGCGTATAAATGTCAAATACTAGGTGAGGCAAATTCATTAATACAAAATATAAAACAAAGTCACCTGAATCTAGAACCTTCAGAACATTTTAATTTCTTTAAGTTCTGCATATTTAATGAATTTTCTTCCTGACCCATCAAACACAGCATGAATTTTACATTTTACAACTCCAGTTCCTGCGTCTCAAAGCAGCAGCAGGTAAAATCTGTAACTTAGTCTCTCAACAGAGCTGTCTACAGTAGATGTTTGGTTTCCATAAAGTATCATTATGTCACTGGATGGAGAGGGTGGCTTTCAAAGAATGATTCGGCAAAGACCTACTTAGACACTCTGAGAAGGTAATTCTGCACATCTAAGTTAAACTGCTGTTCCAAATAATTTTTTCATTAGCTATTGAGTCGAAGGACAGTAAGCTCCTAATTTAGCCATCAAGTTACGTCTGTAACACTAGGTAGTACTGATGTTGCCTTATCGGATCAGTATAGGATAAGAGCAGCTACATAGTTAACCAGTAGTTCTGAAAAATGAAAACCACGACAGTATCCACCTGAAAGTGCTCCTGGGTTCTTCTTACTGAGCTAAGGAATGCAGCTGTGTTGAGACACCTAGTGAGCCTTGATCATGCAATAATATCAGTCAGTTTTCTTAATAGATGATTCAATGACATGCTCAGGAAGCTGTGAGTTGTTTTTCAACATAGGTGAGGACAAAATCAGGAACACCTGAAAATCCATTGTGAAACAAAGAGAAGATAGACTGTAGGTCAGATTCTGACTGAGGGAGTAACATAAACCAGTTTTAAACAAGGTTAATTATTTCACAAGCACTTTCTGCTGATAATATGTACCCATTTGGATTTACAGCTTCTTAAGCACTTCTTTTGGAGTGTATCCTCCTCATTACACTTATGAAGAAATAAGAATGCAAGGATAGATCTGTAAGTCTTAACTGTGTTACAAAAAGATGAATTTGGATTTACAGGGTTATTCTTTTATAACAGGGAAATATATATTAAATATATGAACCGTAAGGACAACAAGCAATCTGAAACTTCTTTTTCAAGACTGAGCTCAGCAGAGGTGCAACTACTTGAGTCATTCACTTTATGGAATTTTCCTATTGTTTGCTCTAGTTTATGCTCAGCATCTGCTAGCTTTATGTTTTATCCGCATAGCTATGTCAGTTACTAAAGGTCTAAAGCAATTCTTTCTAACTGAGCTATAAATTCATCAGCAGGATATTATTTCAGCTTTCTTTTCTTTCCCTGTTCTGGTGCTCAGAATATCCATGCTCAACTCTTCATCATGAAATTGACAAAGAATATTATTTTCTCCCTTCCTTCCGCTAGTATGTTTATGTAAATATGTGCAAGACTTCAGGAGAGCAGAGGAGTGCTCAGAGGAAGCTAACCAGACAGAAAGAGGATCAATACAATCATCTAACAAATTGCTAAAGAATGAGTTAGGAAATTAATATTACAAAGTGTAAAGGAGACAGATAACAGGGGCTTGAACAATCAACAGGGTCAACCAATTTCTTCAGGACCGATAGAACAACTCAGCAAATTAACTGGAATCTCTTGAGCATGTATGTAGAAGCCCCTTCAGCTGACAGTAAACAGAGCTTCTCTGGAAACAAATTAAACAGGTTACTAACTGTTCATGCTACTAGACAAGAAACTGATAGGGAAGTCTTATGCCTTCAGATATTTAGCTATCTACCACACTAAGCAATAGAAATCTTCCTCAGTCACTTCCAGCAGGGCAATCTCCTTGCATTAATTTCCTTTTTTTTGATTCTGCATCCAAGACCATCCTAAGAATAATCTTGTGCCAGAATCGGATCAACAGTTCAGCAGATGTTAGTTATTCTTTATTATCACTGAGTTATCCACAAAACAAATTTGTCCTCTGAAGCACAACCTCATCCTGTATCAAAACTTCCAACCCTCTTCAAGAGGGATTTTCTTGCCGTTTTATTCTAGGTTGTGTCCCTCACCCTATGTCTAATTAGTTTTCCCTAACAACTGTTTAATTTACAGTGGTTTTTTTTCAAAGCAGAAATTTCATGTTTACTTCTTCATAAGGAAACATATAGCCAACTTTAAGAAGGCAAATAGCTTCCTAAATCTATGAGCCTGAGCCACATCTTAGGCACTGAGATCAGGTGTGTGTATGTTTGTGCAATGTTGGGGAAATGTGAGCTCTGGAGGACCTTTATACTTGTGAAATTAAGGATTGTTTTTCATTATTAGACTCAAAACTTCCATTAGCATGGAAGTGTAATAGCATAAGAAAGACCAGAAATGCTGCCAGTGATGCCTTTGACTTTATTTTGCATGCAGCAGCAGAGTTTCCAACAGGCTGTTGTTTGCATCTTGACTACTCAGAAGAGCTGAGAAGACAGGACAGCCCTACATTAATTTGTGCACTGAAAACTTAGAAACGTTGTTTGGAAAAATGAACAGAAAACTATGGTGACATCTCTCATTTACTAGCAGCTTCAGAAAGATTTGTTTTCAGGGTAAGGAAAGCACTTTGCTAATATGTCTGCAATACCAAAGAGCCCCCTCAAAAAAAAATAAAAAGGGGATATAAAGTCTTTATTGCAATGTTTGGAATGACCATAGCTCTCTGCAAGTTATGCAAATTATCCCGAGCACCTCTAATGCATTATTTCTCATAGCACAGATTTCTATTGTTAATCAATGTGTAAAAATGCATTGTTTTTTGATGGGTGTTTGGTTGATTTTTTGTTTGTTTCTTTGGTTTTTTATATACTACACGTTAAATGTTTTATTGTCATTAGAATAATTAAGCTTCAGAGCATTCCAGGAAGGCCAGGTGATAACACTAATCCCTAAGCAGCGACTGTGAGAGAGAAGAGACACACAGAAGACAGATTATTTATCAATTAAAGTTATGGAGACAGGCAATAACAGAAAGAAAAATTTAACGTCATTGTCCAGAATCCATGTACTCACTTGCTCTAAATTATTTATTAGTTATTTTTTATGAACAGTACAGTTTTCATAGGATGGAATTTCTAACATTACATGCTAGGAAGATTTTGTTCACATTTTCTTAGCATCTCTTACAGTGAAAGCTAGACTAAGAAAAATAAATCAAGCAATGGCTCTCATAAATTGTAGAACTGTTAGATCAGTAACAGACATTCAATTCCTCTTCACCTCTATCAAGCCTGAATTTTCATAAGTATTTATCTCATTGTTCACCATGATTATGAACCATGGTGGGTTTTTATGTTCATATGCTCCAGGCTATGTAGGTGCTAGAGTTTTCTTCCAAAGATAATCCTAGGAAGGACACATGAGACGTGACCAATGTCCCTGGGACCTCACACTGACCTACAGGCTGTTTAAAAAGGAGAGTCTTGAACAGAAAGAAACCAGAGGAGTAAGGCAAAATAAATTCAAAGTCCTCTCTAGTATTAGGAGATTGTATCACATTTACTGAACTTGGATGTCCCTTTAAGGAATGCTATACAGTGCAGGATTAAGCCAAAGAAACCCCTTACTGTGGATAATGCTGAGATCAACTGCCAATAAGATTCGAAGAACTATTACACATGAAGAAAGAGAGAGCAATTCCAGTGAGGGTGAGAACTTCCAAAACAGTTAGCTTTCAGGTATTATCATCAGCAGTTGCAGAACAGGAAAAAACATTGTTCTCTTGCAGACTTTGTGCAGTCAGAGCATACTAGTTAAATAGTAATATATTTACCACTGGCTTTCAATAAGATAATAGAATTTAATTGCTGCTTATTACTGTATGCATTCCAGCACCATTAACACTAAGAACTCAAGCTGAAGCCACAACACTTCAATTCTACACAATAAAATGACAGGATGAAGTAAAAGCCCTCTTGGCTTACAACATTTTTTCCACAAAAGCAAAGCTTTTATAAGAGTAGCTCCCATACACAAGTCATCACAGAAGGTTTTCCTGTTATGTTTTCCTATCCGTGTGTAATTAAGAATATGAAAGCAATAAAACTGATTCCAGTCCTCCACAGAATACTCATTTTCTTTCCCCTCAAACTCTGAGTATCTCTGGGGACAAGAAAGGGAAGGAAACAGTAGGATAATAAGAGGGAGAAATGGTCCTGTCCCTCTTTAGGGAAA